GTTTGTAGAGAATTTCACAATTTCCAAGTTGATTTCTGAAATTTTTATCTCTGCGAAATAGATTTTTATACCATTTTCATTGAAAATTATCGGTAACCTATGTAAGTTCTTTTTTCTGCTACAGAGTAATATAGATACATTATGTCTTCTTAGTAAAATATTTAATGATTTCTTTAAAAAGGTACTTTTACACCGTACTTTGTCATAGTGTATATGTTAATTGAATATCTCTTGTTCAGTAAATTTCATCTTGAGTATGACAGTATGACATTAATTTCGTGTAATAGTGAAATCCTACGTAGTTGCAATTACTGATATTTATTTAATCTCCTTTACGTTTGTCTCCGAACTCAGAAACGTGCTCAACCACGTCTGATACATAACATGAAACGTGAAAATTGTAGGCAACGAGAAAGGTATCAGTTTTATAGCAATTCTTTGTACTTTTTTATACAAAACATGAACACAGCTTACAATGTTACCTAAGAGTGGACTCTGCTTTAGGCAAATATTTATAAACGACATAGATCTTGTAGAAAAAATATAGAAAATTATTCGAATTTCGAGAAACACAGAAAACATTTTGAATACACATTAATTTTTTTGTTTGAAAGGGGATGCCTTATGATTAAAACGATTACTTTATACATTTATTGCACAACAGAACAACAGGATATATTAATGCTGTTTGCAAATAGAACAAAGAAAGACTGTATACAGTCTCAATTGAAAAATAAAGAAATACTGATAATGTTTTAAATAAAAATTGAGAAAAGAAAGGAGAATTTTGTTTAAAAAAATATTTGTTCAATTTCAGTATAATTTTCGTCTTTTTTATAAATTGTCTCGATTGGGCGTTTTAATTTTCATTATCCGCTGTTTTTATCTGTTCCAAGTAATTAAATTCGGTAAACGTTTCAAAAGAACTATCACCAACAGCTTTTACTTATATTCAGATTCGAAAATAAGTAAAACAAGACAGGAAAGATGAAAATATAATTCTTTGCTTTGTATCACTTTGCCAGCAAGTATGATACATTCGAGTATCTTCGAGATTAGGTTCTTTTTACTTTTGCACCAGCAATTCTCCCCATACGATGATTCCTTTCTCCATTTGACATTTCGCTTGAAATATGGAATCTTTCTTACAATCGTGAAAACAAGATGACCAACCATCTAGTTCACGGAGAGTAAATCCTTCCTCATCTGTAAATAGTACAGTCCTCCATTCCTTTCTCTATATAACGTGCTGTCAAGGAAACTCCGCTCAATCATCAATATGTTTTGTCGTTAATTACGATCTTCTCTGAAGCTTCTTGCGTTCAACATTTTAAGATTGTTACATAATACGTAACACATACCTTGTACTTAAAGATATTTCTGCTTGAACTTTAATTGACGTGTAATTAGGATATAATCGGACGTAGCTCTAAGTAAGGCATAACTTGAATATTACTCATATTATAAGATCAACATTCTATCTCTCACTTTTAAAGCATTTCTCATATTTTTCATAATAATATTTTCAACTTCCCACTGTAAGTTTCAATATATTTAGTCATTAAAATATTACACCTTACTATATGGAAATTAAAATTTTGTTCATTACAACGCGTTTTGTTTTGATGTTTTAAATATCATCAATATTGGAAAATAATTGTATAGATCACTTGGTACAAATTTGTATAAAACATTAGTACAAGAAACTAAAACGCACTTTTTCTATTAAAACTCGTACATCTCAATAATTGAATAGAATGGAAATTTGTGAAAACGAAACGAATAGTTTGACCATAAGTTACAAGGTAACTTGCATTGTTAGTATCAATGTTGACAATGGAAGTCGAGTACAATCATTTATAGGTTCAACGAGATCCACGATACTAGGTTACAACTGACATCAGATGAAAGTAACTACCGATCGATCTTTATATATATACATGTGCACATGTACATCATCGATAAGCAGCATTGTCGACCCTAATACCAATGAAGACAAACAAGGAGTTAGCGTTTCACGGGAATGAACGATGTGGTAAAAAGTAATTGCTTGAAATTGCCCATAAGTGCGACAGGTACGCAAAATCAACACATGTCATACCAGTGGTAATGGTTTCTGAGCAAATACTATCGCATGGCATATCACAAGCTCTACATTACCCAGCCGATGATTGTTGTATGTATAAAAAACGATTATTATAGACAGGCCGCATATGCACACTTTGGATTATTCAAGCAATGGTATATACTAAGCTTGAAGGCATTTATCAGTTTTTTTGAAAGCTGCAACTCAGTTTTCAATAAAAGCCTATCAGGATTTTATATTTTTATACGGTACACAGATCTCCAAGCTCTTGTAAATTTGAAACAATCCTGTAACGTTTATTAATGTTTTTATTTCATATATAAATTTAAATCTTTTTTAACCCTTATTATTATTATTATGATTTATTATTATTTTAATTGCTATTAGTAACAAGAATCGTTTACACTGCTCTCTACAAATTACCTATCTTTTCAAATGCATTTCAAATAAAATATCGTAATAATACAGAATTATCGAGGAACAAATGCAAAAGAAATTCGGAATACAAAGAGTTAATAAATAAACCCTCGTTATATTTTGAATAGGGAGAGGTATTATTTACAGCAAGAGCTGACACACTTTTACGGACAATGAGATAATACAATTATGTACATAAATTCAGAGAAATATATATTTTCAATGTTTCATTTCAATATTTTAAATATTAGAAAAAATATAGTACGTCAGATTCTGGTTCTACTTGTCATACAGTTTAATTTGTTAGAATATTTTATTATATTGTGATCACTGCTTTTTTGTTATTGCTATTATTATTATTATAAGTGGTGTTAGAAGAATACTTTATTACATTTTTCTTGAAATAGTTTCTTATGTTAGCACTGTTATAATGTATCTGTTGTCATAAAAATGTCAATTAACATATTTGCATTCTTTTGTTCACAAGAATTACATACATGTTTGTATTTACCTAAAACCTCAAAGTAATTTAGTAACTACCTTTTTAATTACATTGAATGGCTAAAAATAACAATTGTTAAAAATTCATAAAGTTTAATATTCTCAAATGGCAGGTTTAACTATTATCAAATGAAAATATTAAATTTTGTTTTTGCAGATGTTAGTTTTAAAAATAAAGTGCACTTTAACATCGACAAGTATGTATTAAAAGATTCCATAGATAGTAAAAATTTCCAATTAAAGTATTGTTCAACGTTCTATTTTGTATTAGAAAACACATTTTGATGTTCTCATGGCATGGTAGGCATATGCACTATATGCATACAAAAATACATAACATAAAAAAAGAGAAGAACAGAAGAGTAGACAAACGAAGCTATAATGCATTCAATATTTAGCAAGCAAATGATTTTGTTCAATTCGTCGGTCACATTCACTATTACATCATTAACAAGCGATACAACAAAGTAACTAGTTTATAACAAAAGAAATAACGAAAACTTTAAGAAAAGAATACACTTGTTCAGTGGGCATCTTCCGTATCTTCGAATTAGGGTTAATGCGCACAAGACAGACACTTATGTTAATTATTCTCGGTACAAATAAGATCGCATGTTCTCCAACTATTAAAAGCCGTAATAGTCAAAAGGCACGTAACATTTTATGTGTCCTTTCGCTTTCCTTTTACCAGAAACGTGTACTTTTCCTCTTTCGCTCCTCGATCCGTTCCCCTCCTTCTCTGTATTCTCGCCCCTGTATATGCTCGAATCGACATTTTTCTTCGCCGGGGGGATCCGTTTCTGATTTACCTACCGTCAGACACACAGTCATCGTCGTGGTTCGTTTACGCTGCAATTCGGTTATTTTGTTCGTATAAATATTTGATGCTGCTCGAGAAGTCGCACCTAACTGCCGAGGCGAAATGTATTTCATATCGTTACCGGCACGGCGTTTGCCGTTGTTCAACTACTCCCGCATACCGAGTATATACCGACGTCAACTCGACGAATTCCCTGGGATACTGTATTTCAGGGTATTTACATTTTATCGCTTCTTCGCAAACTCCGGCAATTTCGGTCGTTCCACGCAAAGAAGAATGAATGGAATTTGAACATAAATTACTAAACTGATACGATTAACGTGCCTGACGCACATATATATGCACGGTTGTTTGAGTAGCTGACTTTCGTTTGGACTTCCGCAACGAACACTAATTGAAATTATTTTATGTGCTTTTAACATTTTATGCTTATTCAACATTATTCAGCATTCGGAGAAAATCAATGTAGATTTGCATTGGAATAAGATTAAATTATGACAGTTTTTAAAGTAATATTATTGTGAAATCTTAATTACTAATTCGAATAATGTATTTTAGTACTCTAGTACTAGAAATACAATTTTGTATTAATAAAAATGTATTATCAATAGTTCTTCAGAAGTAAATAATTTCGTAAAAGGAATTAAATAGATGACATTTAAAAATCACTTGTTAGAGATCTAAAATTATACACATAGTTTCAAAGATTTTCTTCGTCAAAATAAAAGATAAATCGGCCATTCGTGTTTTATTATTCAATGGCTAATCCACGTTTCGTTTCCCCACTAGTAAAAGCATGAATAGAGGACAACGACGCATTGTCATTAAATAAAAATCAATCAGAAGGTCGTGAAGGAAGCTTAAAGGATTTATTTAGGCCGACCGTGGCTTAGCAGTCTTACAGAGGACTTGACGTCCTGCATCTGTAATCTGTATGGTTCTTCAATACATTTCGTGTTTCCTATCAGTTTCTAAATTAGCTGGTGCAATAGAGAATCAAATGTAATCAATTTTCTTTTTCGTAAATATTCAATCATTTTCTTTAAATGACCCGGATAATTTCTTTAGAATACGTACCCCTATAGGGGAGTACAATTTTCTAATAGAAAATTTTAATATCAATCTTATATGGGATAAAATTTGTTATTTAACTTAAAATATTTTTTATTGTTTTAGGCTATCATGTATGAGGGACAAGATAAGAATCCTGAAATGTGCAGAGTCCTTCTGACGCACGAGGTGATGTGCAGGTGAGTCCTTTTTTGCACGAAAATGTATCGTAGTTCTGCATAATCAAAAGGATTCAATTTTTTGACTGAGTTATAATTTAACTGAGTTATACTTCAACTGAAATATTTGAACTCTGATTCAGTAAAATAATAGATACGAATTATTTAGAGATTTGTATTAAAAAAATACATTTTACAATTATACTGTTCCGAACGTATGCACAAAGAAAAGATCCGTTCTCTATGCAAGCAACCACCCTTGCGCTAGCAAACCCCAAACGTAACGAAACACACGAGGATGTAGTCATTCTCCAGGGGTGGCTGACTCATTGACCCATGGGACTTTGGTCCTACTACTCTCCACCCCCAAACTTGGAAGTCTCAAGGGCTCCGGTAGTTTTTAGACGATCTCGAAAGTTCTGACCCCTCCGGATCCAATGGTCGAATTCAGTTAAAAAAAAATTGCGTCGCCTTCGAAAATTATGCATAGTAATGCCTGACCCGTCTATTTTATTTCTTTTCAGTCGGTGTTGCGATAAAAAAAGTTGCGGGAACAGGAATGAAACACCGAGCGACCCTGTGATCATCGACCGGTAAGTAACTTGCTTAACATTCTTCTTTTTTCAAATATAAAATACTCGTCTCTATTTTCAAATCAAACATATAGAGACTATATATAACAGTATTTAGTACTTTCGTACCTTTTCAAATATGTATCCAATCCTTCGGGTTCCTCCTTAAAATTGTTGGGTCTGTTACGCAATTAATCAGAAAATTATCCAACTCAATTACACTATTTATAGCCCTTGCGCCACAATTATTCACTTCTTACCGTCACGTTAGGGTACTTAGCAACCAAAATATAATCAGATAAAATGCTCAACATGCAGATCTCAGCTGCAAAATGAAAAATAGATAGATCCCATTGAAACATCGAATTTCATTAAATACGAAAAACATGCGAAGCTTTTAACCGAACATCAAGGAACAAGTACACGCGGAAACCGATTTCGTTGGAACGTCGACGTCTATGATATCAGTTTACTACCCTTCCTATCATCTGTCGCAACGATCTGCGAAATAAGGGTCCAGATAACTCGTTCTTGAAGGTACCCACCTGCAAGATAGCGTCGCATACCGTCGCGACTAGAAACCCAGGATATTTAGGCTTGCAAAATACGTTTCCTACGAGGTGTGGTGAGGCTGCAAGGTAGAAGAGCACTCGAATACTCAGGCGTACTTATACCTCCACCACCTTCTACATGGTACTGCTTGTCCTTGGAAATACAGACACTCTCTCTCTCTCTCTCTCTCTCTCTCTCTCTCTCTCTCTCTCTCTCTCTCTCTTTCTCTCTCACTCTCTCTCTTTCTCTCTTAGTCTCTCCTCACCTCTCTCAGTCTCATACACACACATACACACGTAGACACATGCGTACATATACGTGCAACGTAACATAGGAGTAGTAGGGTGAGCTTGGTATCTGAATAGACTATAGAGTGTCCTGAGATAGGAACGGTAGGAAGGAAGAGGTTTCCCGCGGGACACAGGCCGAGATAGTCTTCAGGAGGACATCTTGTGCTCAGAGGTGCTCAACCTCCGGTTTTCAATACAACGGTGTCTCAGAGCTTTCATCCTCGCCGAGAAGATATGTGTTACACGTAGAAGACGGGTAAAGCCTACTAGGCTTGCACATAACTATTTTTCTACGCCTAGCAGTCTTTTCGCATCAGCACCTCCAGGATTTAAGTGTAATGCACCGACATAGGTGTTGTTTATAGCCTCCCAGGAAATGGATCTCGTAGTTTGAGGAACCTGTATCGAGGCGCTTTATTTGATTATAGTGGCACCAGTTATAACATAAAACTGTAGCTACCATGAAACATCGGTGTCGCAATATTTTTTAATACACTGTAAAAACATTGTAAACGTCTAAAATAATTGTTTTCCGCTGTAACTACATATATTACGAATTTTAATACTTTTGAAACCGTACCGGTAATACTTCGAAACAAGACGGTTACGTCAATACATTACACATGCTACGAAAAAATGACACGAAGTGAAACTTGTTTAACGGAGCATTAGAAAAATTAATCTCGAAAATGCTGGTTCGGCACATGGCACGCACGCACCTAAGTAACATCGTATAAACCGTGATATAATGTAAATGCAGCAACGTTGCGGTCGCGTGTCACATCGAGCGCCACCCTAGACTACGTCTCTCAACTTGGTTTGCGGTGGATCGTGCCGGACATAGAGTAAATGAACGATCCATAGGATTAGAGGATTGAGTTAGCATGCGGATTATGTTTATCACGTATTTATACTAATAACGTTCATGATGGCCATTAAGCTGATTTTTATAATTGCTATACTCCACGTGAAATATTAATTTTTGTGGAATGACATTGATGTAATTGAAATTACTGGACTCATGTATATATGTCATCAATATTTCTAATCTTATCTTTTAATATGAGTATTATATTAATAGTGAAATGGTCTTAAGAAAGGTTCGAAAAGATATAATTACATTTTTCTTATTTATATTTTTGATTTTAATTATGGAAATCGATATACCTGTACACTTCATTGAAAGATGTTTCACGCAATTTAAAGGATGAAGTTCAAAAATTATAAGTCTAATGTTTAAACTGGATAGTTTATAATTATTTCTAATGCATAAATAAACTATGGTTCGATATATTTAAAAAATTATAAGTTATTCATCATGTACATATTCATAACTATGAAACAATAAGAATGACATACTTTTCATACTATTATTCAATATTACGTTTATGAATTTTATTAAATAAATTAATAACATTAAACACATAAGTCATAAATAATCCAAGATTTTTATATCCACTGCATTTTTTTAAAAATATGTGTAAAGTTTCAAATACTTCAAATATTTTTTATAAAAATTTAAATCTTACCAGATTAATAAAGAAGCAACATTTTTGTTGTTTGTAAGTATTTTTATAACTGCTTCCCATTTTTTTACACAAAATTGGTCATTTGGGAATCGAAGCTTCGTAACGCTTTTTGCCTTCCTGACCATTAGAATTAGCCTTCGACCCATATGGGAGTGAGGTGTGCGTGTGTTGTTTGCTGGAATATACATATACACATACATCGACGGATTAATAGATTTTCGGTCTCGAACAAAACCGCAATGTAGAGCGTGAGGGCCCGATCGGGAGAATGAGCGAAGGGTATCAATGCCACTTTGATTGAGACAGCCCTGGTCGATTGTGACATGCTCACTCAACTGTGCAGAAAGTTCAGCGCAACCACCATCAATTGTGTATATCTGGCTAGAAAAAGAACAAAAGCAAAAGCGGATTTTCTATCTAAACATGGCCACTTTTTCACCCTATCACTCTCCCTTGCTGAACGTTGAAGGGAACAATCCGCGTGAAACGAGAGGAAACGCGACAACAATGACCATCCATACTTGGATTGCACTGTTAGAGAAATATTTTCCTTAATGCCTTCGTATTAAAAAATAGAATGCAAGCATGAATGAATTTAGTATCCTTGTTTCTCAGAGATTTTAAGAGAACATAGTTTATAATAATTTTTCTGTACATTTATCTACCAATTCTCATTCGTTTCTAACACTGAAACTAATCACAAGTGTACCCTTTTATCATCACTAACGTAAAACCCCCAAGGTATTAATAGATTTATGTCCAACGAAAGAAGACTTTGGTCAAACTGAAACTTATAATTCAGAAAAATAAATAAGACGCTCAATTCGTTCATATAATAATTAAATAAAACTAGTTTCTAATGTAGAATGTGACGAATGGTGGCCAAAGAAAATCGCATAAAAATCTAAAATATACAGACATCCTTCAACACTTTCGAATCACTAGCACAGATGAAAATCTGACAAGATGTACAGTACAATAAAGCTTAGAAACGCATTTCGTGTTACCCATCTATTCTGCCGAAGCGCTGAATGACTAATGAAAACATCCACGAGCACTGAAACAGCTTAATCGACCGATCGATCGACACGTCACATCGATCAGCCACGTGACGAGGAGATGCGCGGCGAGAATAGTCGTAGAGAAGGCGGTATTACGCCGGACTCGGAAACCAATTAACATGCATAATTAAAATGGCATTGTCGTGGCCGTACAGCGCCAGGGGCTCTTCCGTCGACTAACGAATCCCCCGGGACAAACGCCGTTCCATAATTACGAAAATCCTCTCCCTCGTCCGCGGCCAGTTCCGCGATTCACTGCGCCCCTCCTCCCCGTATCACTCTTTCTCCAATTGCAATCGGCACGCCGCGTCGCGCTGCGCCGGCAACCCTCTCGAAAACAGCGGAGCGCCGGGGAAAAATCGGGCATCGGGTCGTTGCGACACGGGCCGGAACGGGAGGCCGATAAAGGCCGAGCGGGCCATTCGTCGTCGGTCCGATTGGTTAACTTTATTTTGCTCGGTGGGCAGGCCCTTAATTTCGGGACATCGATCATAGCCCTCGCATGCCCTCCGTTGGCGCGCAACCTGGTCCACTCCGTTCGCTCGAGCCGCGACCCTCAACGCAGCGACGCGCCTATCCGCTATACCCTCAGTCAATTTGACGGATTCCATTTCAGATGGCGCACGACGACGATCGTTTCGTTTCCCTGGACGTATGGTCTCTTCGAGGGGACGACGCGGCAGAATTTTTCACGGGGAAATGCCAGCCGAGCCGATTAATACCACGATGAACGCTCGTGAAAGGGGAATACGTAGGATGTATTTCGCGATTGTACGGGGTGTCGATAGGCACTGGAAAAATTTTTATTACCGCTGTGTCGCCGATAACAAATTACCGTCGCTGAAATAATGGAATGCACAAGTGGGTGTGAAAAGTGGAACTCTTTAGAAACGTCGATGCTTTTTGGATGATACTTGCGAAAACTATAAGGGTGGTTGGATAGTAAGGGATTAATTTATATTAGACGATATTGAATTTAATATATTGATTCATTTAATAGTTCAAAGTAAATATGCTTTTGTTAACATATTATTGGTGTGCTTTCGTGTTGTTGAATATTACGAAGATAATGAAAATAGATTGTTATTGTAAATATTTGCAGTGCACTATGCTTGACAGAACAAATTGAATATGAATTATTTTATCGAAAGATAATACACATCATGTAAATTCAGAAAAGACGACACTATTTTCATTATTTGATTTGTTATTGTTTACAAATACTAATGTATATACCTGAAAACTGTAAAGTAAATTTATATGACAATTTTGTAAAGAAATATTTAAAATTGGATTGGAATACTTTTCGTATTTCACAAGTTCTAAGGAATATCATTATTCGAATAATAAACGTGTGACGATGTAGACGTTTGTTCTTTCCTGTAATCCATGTAAACCGTAATCGCTGTTTTGACGAAAGCAAAAAAGATATTACTGGAAACGGATTCTACAAAAACACCGTGAAATGAAGGATGAAATATGTATAGGGAAAAGTTTTAAGCGGACCCCTCGTCGTTGGTGTTATTGTGGTTTTCAATGGCACGTCTATCATCCACGTAAATACCGACTCGCGATATTCCCTTCATCGA